AAAGTCAGTGCTGGGCGTTGAGATGGTATCTGAAGTGTGAGGAGCCCCTCCTCCCTCACGACCCGTTGTCTCAACATGTCATGGACTGGGAGCGTAACTGCCCCCCCCCACTACCATGAACAGAACAAAGTGGTTGAAGGTGATTGGATAATGGTTCATCATTGTTCCAACTTGTGAGTCACACACAGTGCATGTGTTTCACTGGGGTTAAGATGATGACCATCCAGGGTTACACGTAAAGGTGAACCATGTTCACCATGTTCACCATGTTCACCATGTTCACCATGTTCACCATGTTGCTTTCCAAAGTGATGATATCTGGTGACATAAGAATAATCGTTTGTTTTTGACCTGGAGTAAACCTAAACCTTCAGTCTTGTGATGCACAGATTTGGAAAGTCTTACTGTGAAATGTTTTTAAAGTGAAGTCCGACAGGCCTTGAATGATTACATACAAACTAGAATGGTTCATTTCCATAAAAAAGGCCACTAAAAAAAAAAACGGAATGAAAAATTGGTTGATTAATCAACTGATCATAATTAGCCATAATTAATTAGAAATAAGGGATATTTTCTTCCTATATAAGACAAATAACTTTTCCCCACATTGTGCTCAAATAACATGGGTGGACTGTGTATTATAGTAACAACAAGTGGAAGGAAGTGGAATTATTAAATACACCACATGTGCCAATTTGTTAAAATCATTAACGTGATTAATTTAACCAAGTAATTGATATTAATTTCAACAGCCCAGTAAAAATGAAACATTAACCATGGATTTGTGCCATGTGGTGGAGAGGTGGTTAGTCCTCCGACCTTAGAGTGAGAAGGTCACACATTCAATACCCGGCCTTAAAGGACAGTTCCTGTCTCCAAAAACCTTCAACCAACGTACGGTTGTGAATGTGAATGGCTCTTTTTTGTCCAGCAGGGGACACGTGACACGTCCAGGATGCTCGTTGCCTTTGCTTAATGACTGCTGGGATTGAATCCTGCAACCCTGAAAAGAATAAAGCCATATATAGCATACAGAGTAAATGCACCTTAAAATGGTCATTAAAGGTCAGCTGGATGAGTGCAACCGTCATTCAACGGAGCTTTTTCAGGTTTCATTATTTATACAATAATTGTCATTTTAGTAATAAAAAGTAAAAATGATAGTTATACTAATAATACCTTTCTTCGTAGAGACCGAGTCGGTGCATCACCCCGAGACTGAATTGAGTTCCTCAGTGTTGATGTGAGTAAATGCACCAGAGAAAGGGTTAAAACAGAGGTGGTATGTGATCGTACGTGTGCACTGATGCATCTCATTACGTGCTTCCAGGAATCCCAAGAAGAAAAATGTCAGTAACACATTAAAGAGCAGGATGTTACAAAAACTCAGAAAGCTAATGAAAAGCACTAACGAATTCAACATCGTGTTGTAATGGGCGAATTCTGCCAGTAAAACACGCACAGACGGCTTTAAAAGGATCGGAGACAAAGTGCTCTTCAGAGCAGACGGCGGTGTCTGGAAAGAAGACGTGACACATGTCAAAGGTGTCATGACGGTGGGGCCTAAAGTGTTTCTCTGCTACGTTTCATTTTCTTTAAAAAACACTGGCTCTTTGAAGCCATCTTTGAGCGCCATCCAGGGATCCATCCGAGCCTCAGATTAGCGTTATCTGGCTCCGCAACATCCTCAAAGACAACAAAATGAATCGGCTTTTATCTGTAAAAGGCAAGAGTTGCCTAAACAAGTGCTGTTTGCTGTTAGCACTGTGTGTAAAGGTCTCGGGTCATCCAGATAATCCAGATTTATCTTTAGGGTTCAGAAGAGTCGTCTACGATTCGCAAAATGCACTTTCCCTGATACAATTGGATCTCGCAAAAAAGCCTTCCTAAAGGAAAAAAAGCAAAGCATTGATTGATGTATCCTTAAAGGAGGCGATGTTAGTGTATGCAGGCCTGAAGAGGAAGGTTTTGCAAGACTGCTGTTGTCCTAAACGCCCCCTGCTGGGCTCTTTCATAGCTTCATTTGTCAGATTCCTCAAAGTGTTCTTGATGACTCGTATCTTTTGCGTTTTAAAACTGATTATTAAAATGCTGTTAGTTTAACTACCAAAACTGCCCTGAATGAGTTCTTTGTCCAAAACACCGGCCTGTCACTGTTTTCTTATAGACTTGAACAGGAACTGGAACTTTTCTTTGTTTCTGTTTAGAGACAACATTCATTTGTTTTTGACTGAACCTCCTGAGCGTTTTGTTGGTTGTGGTTCATTGTGGTTGTACCTAAAGACAACCTGAGAGCTAGTTACCCTCGGGTGGGTACAAACGGATCCGTTTCATTCACCACGCTAAAAGGCACATCTCTTTCACCACCTGCTCATCAGCAGCTAATCAAATAGAAAGATTCACATGCACAGTGCGTGCACACATTTATCCCAGAAAATGTTCCAAATAAAGGTATAATAATGTTGATGGTTTAAAAACAGGCAGTTTAAATGATCAAACGTTTGGATCCAAACAATCTCAGGGCGTCGATCAACTGATCATAAATAATTATAAATAACACAGGTATAAATACCAACATGCATATCAACTGTGTATTATAGTGACAACAAGTGGAAGGAAGTGGAATTATTTAATACACCGTGTGTCAATGTGTTAATTTGGTAAAATCATTAACGTGATTAAAAATTAAGCAAATCATTCATATTCATTTGACAGCCCTTATTTAAAGCAGTTAAACTTGTTTTTAAGTCAAATAAACACGTCACAAACTGAACATGTCGTCGACTGTTACCAAAGAAAAAGAAAGAATGTGTTTGAACTCCAACCACCATTTTCTTACCACTCCCAAAACCCCCCAGTGCAAACATGTGACAATCGGTGATGTTGTGTGGTGTGATGTGGTGAAGACTGACCTGTTTGACATGTTCACTTTTAAGTGTGGGAGAAAAATCTATACCTTTGTTAAATGTTCTTCAGAGCTGGAGGGTGGGTTGAAGTAATTATGTTGTTATTCTGTTTCGGAACAGCCTTCTCACTGGTCACGCAGGTCCCACAGAAAACACCTGCATCTGAGGCTTTCCTTCAGGTTACATCATTGTTGTTTTGTTTTGCACTGCAGACAGACAGGACCTTTAGAATAAGGAAATGAGCTAAATGTAAAAAGAGACCGGGCGAATAGGTACGACATATTACTTCCAGATTCAAACGTGCTACAACTTGTGATTCCTGAAAAGCTTCACTGGTTGTCCTCGATGTTCTCGGTGCAGACTGACTCTCCTGCAGGATTGTATCATTCTAATATGTCATGGCGGTGTGCAGAGTATCCCAGCACTGAATTTTGATTCAGCCTGGCTCACATTCACCGTGTTCCCTGCATCTGATGTTGCCTTTAGAATATCAAAACATTTTATTGAAACAAGGTCAGATCTCAGTCATATGTTGAGGAATCCCGGATTGTTGTGTTACAACGTCAGGTCTCGGTTTGAACATTGGAGTGAAAAATTGCTAAAGGACTCTACCCACGCTTTACAATGATCAAGACAGAAAAGAAATTCTTCTATTTCCTCTTTTTGCTGCTACTGTAGAATCCAGGCCGACTTGCTGTGGCAGAAAGAAACCTTAAGGGTCTTCAAGTCTTAAAGGTCATTCAAGGGGCCCATGTACTTGTTGTACCTTGTATCATTTTTCCTTAAAAAAAGAAAGAGTCAGAAAAACATCTCAAAGCGTCCTTTGACAGATGTAGTGAAAACCTCGATCAAACAGCTCTCATCCTCCAGACCGACGTCCTGAATCAGTCTGCAGTTGTTCGAGGCATCATGTGAATGGCCCCTGGAGTGACTGCGTGCAAAATGAGCAAGAATTCATTTTTATCTGAAAGAATGTGTCTGTGAGTGTGTCCTGGATTCTGACAGCTCATATATATATATATATATATATATATACTGTATATATATATATATATATGTATGTATGTATGTATGTATATATATATACGTAAACAGACTGTAGACAAACCTGCTCTTTAAAAATGCAAGTATGTGGCAGTAATTGTTACTGACAGTTTAGCATTTGAGTCTGAGTGACAAGCTGGGCCACACCCAAAACCTGATGAAGTATCTGTGTAACTGGTTACATAAAGAATTGTTTTAAAGAATTCAGTCCCAGTGGAATTCCCTCCGTCTCTCCAACAGCCGTCACTGTCTTCTTTCTAAGACTGTGTTCCACTAGATGTAAAACCAGCACTCGGTCGAGTCAACACCAAGTCGTAGGATGGACGTTCCTAATGACCTGGGGAAAATGGGATAGTTGCTGATTCAGAAGTGTTGTATTGACGGCCGACACTCAGGAGACAGTTGTCCTGTGGAGGGACGTTCACATCTTATGTGGTGAGACAGGACAAAAACAAACCTTTTCTGTTGAAGTGGCTAAAGCTGTTCTCTGACGAGTCTTCACTGGCTTCTCTCTAATTATTTCACTGTCTCCGCCACTGTCTGTTTCAGGAGTTGTTGTTGTTCCTGCGTGTGACCTCGGTTCCCCAGGGTCGGTTGAGAAGGCCTTTGATGTCCTTGCAAATGGTTGCTGTAGGGTAGGGGCACATGCACCCCTGAGGGTGTGTAAGTGGCCACTTGGGGGTAATAAGAGTGACAAGACAGAAATGAAGCTGAGTCGTCTGAGCTGGCTGCCTTTACAAGAAAACTTGTTGCGTTTATTTTTTGTTTGTTTGGGAACCACAGCCGTAGGAAAGGGTAGGTGGGTAGGTGGGTAGGTGGGTAGGTGGGTAGGTGGGTAGGTGGGTAGGTGGGTAGGTGGGTGTAACAGGTGACACAACAGGAAGACCACCACCTTGAGGTATCGGTGTTGTCTAATAATTCTTTTG